TTTTCTCAGTTCTGAAGCGCCCACCGAAGAGCATGCCAGAATTATTCACAAAAGCTCAAAGATATATGAATGATGAGGAAATCAACAAGTTTAGGCAAGGTGAATCATCCCACAGATCACCAGAAACTTGACCTGCCTCTGCACTATTCTCAAACAGACAGCCTATCTCCAGTTTAGCGGCTCTCTCACGGGTCGCCAAAAAACTTGGCCTCTACACTGTTCTCAAACAGGCAGCCTATCTGCAGTTTAGTGGCTCTCTCACGGGTCGCCAAAAAACTTGGCCTCTACACTGTTCTCAAACAAACAGCCTATCTCCAGTTTAACGGCTCTCTCACGGGTCGGCAAAAATTTTTTTGCCTCTGCACTGTTCTCAAACAGGCAGTCTATCGCCAGTTTAACGGCTCTCTCACGGATCGCCAAAAAAGCTTGGCCTCTGCACTGTTCTCAAACAGGCAGCTTATACCTCAAGCTTAAAGACTCCCTCATGGGTCGCCAAAAGCTAGGTCTCAAAAAGTGTAGCTCTTTCACGCGCAGTTCTCCAACTCTGTCTTTGCTCTCGCGCAAGCAGCCCACTTCTCTCTCTCCAGTTAATTATGTGAGATATTTTAATGTTTGGAATAACATTATTTTTGTCATCACAAGCAGGCTCTCCCGAGGCAGCCCCAGGCTCACCCAAGACGCCCAACACCTGGAGAAGGGCTTGATCATCAAGGACAGCACCCAAAGCTTCCTTACTACTTGCAATGTCTAGCCCAACGCCTGAAAGTGTGCCTAACTGTTGTTGCTCATCAAAACAAAGTTGCCCAGTAGCTTGAAGGGTGCTTGGCCCTTCAATATTGCACAAAGCAGAATTTTTGGCTCAAAAATCAGCATCTAAGGCGCCCAAATCAGCGCCTCGAGTGAGAATCGGATCAGCCCGTGCTCCCAGGCCACTGCCTAGCTCTCCCTGACGAACCTTGGACTAATTTTCAGCGCCCCTTGATGGAAAAATGCTGCCGCCCAGCGTTCCAAAGCCGCCCAGCGCAGCAGATCTGAAGCTGTCCGGGACAGCAGAAGCAGCAGCAAGGCTGCTGCCCAGCGCACCTGGGCTGTCCAGGACAGCAAGGCCAGCGCCCAGGCAGCTGCCCAGCGCGCCTGGGTTGTCTAGGACAGGAGGAGCAGAGCCTAGACAGCTGCCTAGGCCCCCAGCGCCTAAGCCCCCAGCTGCGCGCCTGCGCTGCCCATCTCCCCTTCCAACGTGCCTCCACTGCCCAGGTCCCCAGCGTGCGCAGAACAGCCGCCCAGGCCCCCAGC